TATATATATATACACACACACATATATTGCACACACACACACACACACACACATATGCATATCTATCTTTCTACCAATCTATCAATATATTTATCTATCTATCTATTTTCATATGCATCTATACACATATCGCCAACGGGCATCCACACACAGAGCATGTAGCTACTAAAAAAAAAGAAAAAAAGAAAAGAAAAGATATCTGTTTAAGAACATCAATTCTTACCTGATAACTTGGCACTCAATGGTATTACAGTCCAGTACCATTTTCTTCTTGTCACTGTGGAGAAAATACGCATTTCACTAAGAAGAACTGCGACTAGTATGAAGATAAAAGGGAAGAAACAAAGCGTAGGTGATAAAACCAACAATAACAGGATTAATACTAGTGATAATATCGGTAATATTAGTGATACATGGAGTGATGCCCACGAAATATAAAATGTTAATTAATGTTACAAAGTGAAATATGATAATCACTGAATATTCGTTTTCGATATTACTGTCATTATTATTATTGTTATCACTATTACCATTATCATTATTACTACCATTATTATTATGAACATCATTACTGTTACGGTTACTATTATTACCATTATTACTACCATTATTATTATGAATATCATTACTGTTACTATTATTATCATTATTACAATCATTATTTTCATGAATATCATTACTGTTACGGTTACTATTATTATCATTATTACTACCATTATTATTATGAATATCATTACTGTTACTATTATCATTATTATTATTACTATTACCCAGACTAATACTACAGCTATTATTATTATCAATATTGATATTCTACAATACGATTATTATCACCATCATCATTATTTTCATCACCTCGTTTCAACACCCTCCCCCTCCCCCCACCCACCTCCACTCCTCCCCCGCCCTCCCTCATACTGACGCCTTCGCCAACTGATCCTGGCCTCCTGAAGCGGGAGTCCCCCCCTCCCCCCCTCCCCCATACTGACGCCTTTGCCTGCAGATCCTGCTCTCCTGAAGCGGGGGTCCTCGTGCCGTTATCTACGTCTGGCAGCGACGTCGGGGGTGAGGGTGTCTCCGCCGCCGTCGTTCCGTCAGAAGGGTCTTCGTCCTCGTCACCGCCTTCGTCGCCGTCTGCCTGGGTCCCCACCTCGCGCTTCGACCTCCCTTGCGTCGTCATGGGCGGAGGCGGGGTCTCTGTAAGTGTGGGCGTAACGGGACTACTTCTGGGCTTGGTTGCCTCTTGTCCCTGTGCTAAGGACGCGTCGCTGTTCCTGTCTCTGTCCGAAGTCAGCTGCGTCGAGAGGGAAATAAATTTAAAAAGATTATAAACAATAAATAGATAATTAAAAATTATATTAATGGATAATAAATAAATAACATAAAATGAAAAAAAATAAGAAAAAAAATGGTAATTTGGTGATCAATAGTTTTGTTTATGCATTATGACATTACAATGCAATTAAGCACGAATTTCTTCCTCTCTCCGTCCATCCTTTTCACAGTGAGAGAGAAAAAATTAATACGGACACACACGCAAGCACGCACACGCACGCACACGCACACGCACGCACGCACACACACAACAACAACAACAACAACAAAAAAACTCACATTAAAGTTCCTCGGATTAAGCGGACACGCACGCACGAACGCGCGCGCGCGCACACACACACACACACACACACACACACACACACACACACACACACACACACACACACACACACACACACGCACGCACGCACACACACAACAACAACAACAACAACAACAATAACACTCACATTAAAGTTCCTCGGATTAAGCGGGACCGACGAACAGGTGAGAGAAGGCGACATCGAGGGACTCTCCACCAGGTACAGGAGAGGCAGGCCGTTGGGCGCTTCGAAGGGCACGCGTATCTCCAGCTGAAGGCGCAGAAGGAGGGGATTTGATAACGGAAGGGGGGAAGCGGGGAGGGGGAGGGGGATGAGGGAGGGGGATGAGGAGGAGGAGGGGGGAATGAGGGATAGCGGGGAAGAGGAGGAGGAGGAGGAGGAGTGGGATGAGGGATAGCGGGGGGGGGGGGGGATGAGGGATAATCAACAATCAATCCTGTTTCCTATAAACCAACAACAACAACAAATAACCAACACTCTATCTGGCGTACCTTCGCGGCCAGCAGAGGCGACGGGCCCCTGTTAGTGACGGTGAAGCGATGCGTGGTCTCAGGCCCGAGTTGCGTCCGGTTAATGGCTGTCTTGGACGCGTTCACTATTTCCCGAAGGCTGAGTGTTTCGTTAATCCGGGCTTCCACATTATCCGGGGCTGAGGTTCTGTGGTTTGGGGAAGGGGATGAGGAAAGAGGGGAGATAAAGGGGGGGGGGAGGAAGGAAGGGAATAGAGGGAAGGATTATGGAAATGAGAGAAAAAATAGAGAGAGAGAGAGAGAGAGAGAGAGAGAGAGAGAGAGAGAGAGAGAGAGAGAGAGAGAGAGAGAGAGAGAGAGAGAGAGAGAGAGAGAGACAGAAGGAGAGAGAAAGAGAACAAGATTAAAAGGGGGAAGAACAAAAGAGTAGAATAAAAATCGAAGGAAGACGGACGAAAAGAGAGAGAGAAAGAGAAAGAGAATGAAAAAAGAAAAAGAAAAATATGATTAATATCTACATCTTCCATCATCCAATGCTACACACCGGCCATTTTTTCCAGTAGTAAAAAAAAAAAAAAGGAAAAAGAAGATAGAAAAAGAAAGAAAGAAAAAAAGAAAAGAAAAGAAAAATATATATGTATGTATATGTATATATATATAATTCATTTCTACATATATATTTCCTTTTTTTCCCCATCAGAAACTCACCCCTCAATGTACAAGTCGACCCAAGACACAACAGGCACGAAAAGAGAGACAGAATTATCCGCCTCGTTCCTGTCGGGGATTTCACTGGCAGCCACAAAGCTCACGTTGAGGCGACGCTCTTCATAGACAAGCAAGGTCAGAGGATTGTACTCGAAATGGAAGAGCATGTTGACCTGTGATCATGTTGGGAAAGCAGGTGAGGGTCACAAATCTCGTGAAGTATAAACGTTGGGAGTAGGTTTCGAATGTTTAAAGAAGATGAAAAACGAAAGCTTGTAACTCTTTTTTTTTATCTTATTGTCTTTTGATATGTGTATAGTTATTTATGGTATTGGATCTTAGAATGCTTATCCTATGTGATTTACGTTTATATTGTATGCCATTATTAGTAGAATAACATAGAGACAAGCACAACAAAACACAAACAAACAAACTCATCCACCCACACACACACACCTCTAGCAATAAAAATCCTACCCTAAGATTCTTTCCGAGTTCGTTGTAAGTGCAGATCTGCTTGGCTTGATTCCGCTCTGACACGTAGAGAGATTCGCGACACTTGGGCAGAAAGCGAGAGCCGGATACGTGAGAAAACGTGAGAACGGACGGATACGTGGCTTCGAGGGTGACCGAGTAAGCTGTGGCTTGGAGTACTTGGAGCATCACCTCGATCTCCAGGTTACCCTCCTGTATCATCAGCTCCTTGGGCCTTTTGGTGAGAGAGGGAGACGGGAGGGTTAGTGCTGTGGGTGGATACGGGCGGAGAATGGGATGGTATTGCTGTTTTATATATATATGTATCTCACTTTCTCTTTTTTTCTCTCCTCTCTTTCTCTCTCTCTCTCTCGCTCTTTCTGTTTCTCTCTCTCTCTCTCTCTCTCTCTCTCTCTCTCTCTCTCTCTCTCTCTCTCTCTCTCTCTCGCTCTTTCTCTCTCTCTCTCTCGCTCTCTCTCTCTCTCTCTCTCTCTCTCGCTCTCTCTCTCTCTCGCTCTCTCTCTCTCGCTCTCTCGCTGTGTGTGTGTGTGTGTGTGTGTTTGCGCGCGCGTATGTACGTGCGTGCGTGTATGCATGCATGTGCGAAGTGTCCATACCCCATTCCCAGCTCGGAGTACCCTACCTAGGTTCAAGGACAAGGTCGGGCTTCGAGTAACAGGTGGTGATATCCTCGCACTCCAGCCTCGCTCGGGCCTCGAACACCGGGGGGCGCAGGCGGTCGAGAATGATGGGGACCTCCCTGCGCTCCGGGGGAAGGTGCTGAGGCTCGCTGGCGGGGGCGAGGCTGACGTTGGCGCTGACCAGGAGGGGGACGTCCAGGCGGGGCCGACCTTCCTGAAGAGGGGGGGGAGGGGGCGTCGCGGTCTCACTAATTGAGTTTATTTATTAATTTATTAATTTATTGTTCGATGCAGAGATTTAAACACACTCGCACATAAGTTTTGACTGATTTGCTATACCCATTGGCGCTGGGTATATGTCCCCCCTCGTGGCTTTCCCTTGTGAAAATTGGTTACACATGAGGTCCCTCCCATTATCATTAAAACTTACCTTCACATAAGCCACCTTGGACAACGGAAGCATGTTATCAGCAGCATTCGTTACGTCATGTGTCACGACCAACCTGAACGAAACAATAGCATTTAGCATCTAATGCCTTGAGTTTAAATATTTCTTAAGTATATGATATAAATATGATTAAAAATTAATATATATAATACGACATTAATTAATGGTTTAATATTTCTTACGTATATGATATAAATATGATTAAACATGAATATAATAAATATAATACGATATTATCTAATGGCTTAGGTTTAATATTTCTTAAGTATATGATATAAATATGATTGAATATGAATTTAATAGATATAATACGATATTGTTTAATGGCCTGGGTTTAATTATTCTAAATATAATATACTATAAATATAATTAAACAGAAATATAATAGATATGATATTGTTTAATGGCTCAGGTTGAAATAGTTCAAATATAATGCAATATAAATTATGATATAAATACAATAAATACAATATTATTAAATGACTTTTTGAGATTTTTAATATTATTATTTTTTTTTCTTAATGATGGGGGGAAAAAATTATGTAATAATTTTATGAGACGAAAGATGAATATGGGGGAAAGGAAGAGGAGAAAAAAAGGGTAGAGGGAGAAATGAATAATACTAATAAGATGAAGGAAAAGAGAACAAAT